AGAAAGTCGCTGCTCCTTCAATAGACGGTTGTGCTTCGCAGTGGTCCGTTTCGTAAGTCAGACTTAGTCTAGTCACTGTCAGACCCGGGTGACTTTGTTCTCTCTCGGTCCTTTTGGGTTTGGTGTTGAGCGCTTCTTTTTTAGCTCCTAGGGGATCATTTCACGCCACATTCGCCAGGTTTCAGGTGCAATTTACACCGTGTCTCGCTTGGAACACGCCCATTGTACGTTGATGATGAGGGCAGTCTTACTTTTGATTTGAAGATCACCTTGTCGAGTGGGAGCGCCTGGCGAATTCACTGGTCTGAGCTTTACGATAACCAGAGGCTTGAAGCTCCGGTAGACCAAGAAAAAGTGACGCTTTGTTGCTCGGACGGTGATAGCCATCAGCTTTCAAACACGTCAAGGGATGTAGGGAAATCCGAATGTCGAATGAGTCGGCCCGAAGGCGGGTGGCTGACTAATGAACCACCAGAAAATAGTGTTATTATTGTAGCGATCACTGTAGAGGTCTTGGTTCCCCGTAATTGGTCTAGTTTAGGTGCCACATGTTGCACATCACACTAGTTGACCATGCTCGGACGCCTATTAGCAGACATGTGGAACCCCTTGTTTTCGGTGGTCCAGCAACTTGGCTTATATGGAGGATGATTTAGATTCGGGAACGCCATAACATATGCTCGTCGGCGACCCTTGCGCTTGTCAAGGCGTAACCAGTTTGTGAGGGAATAGTATCGGCTTTCTTAGTGAAGTGATGGGCGCGCATGTGATCATTCTGGCACACCGTATGATCGCTACAGGTGTAACCATTGAAGTTGATGCCGATTCTTTTGCAGCAGCAACAGATGCGTAGGAAGCTACACCTTTAGCGTAAGCGCACTTGTTCCCGTGTGCCGATATAGATAGCTCCAGGGTTGTTCTTACGCAATATGGCTTGGGCCATGGTGGGAGTTGCAGCAGTAGGTGGAAGTTGGTTGCTTGCCTGCTTTCCGGTTGGAGTTGTCCGTGTAACTAGCTTCACGATTTTGCGCTTTCTTCTGGTTCCGTTACTATCTCGGCTGTGAACACTTGGGCTACGATCCCGGATGTCGCTGAATCATATGGGCAACATTAACTGGATCCAGACCCACCGACCACCTCCGCTAGGTTATTGCATTTCACGTTCAAGTTCAAGCGGGACTGGAACGATAGGATGATTCCGTGAGTGTTCCTTCTTCGGCGGGTCGTTGAACCAGAAGTTGGCGAACTTTGAAATACTGATGGACCCAAAACAAAGACCGCATCACACCCTGTCCAACCATTTCTGTGCCAAAATAGCTATGCATCTAACAAGTCGGACAGCCATGCAGTCTATGCAGAAATAAAAGAAGTTGATTTTATTATGCTGCTCTTTCAATACCCTTGCATTTAAACGGATGCAATTGGTGTGAGAACATTTACTGCATCCAGAAATCAATATGCCAGTTCCAACTGTTTTTCTGTGGCTAAGCATGCTTTTTGACAGCGCTACACTAGACTTAGCAATGGGCTGAACCTCGTTTTTGTCAGCTTTATAGCTCTTTCTAGTCTCAGAGATGGAGCGGAGCAGTTGACTACATACAGACTTACATATGGCTCACGCAATCAGTTCTCTGAACTGGGCAGGCTAGACTTGACGCACACAACTCATACAAAACGGGAGTGGGCGAGGTGTAGATTTCCGATCAATAGCGATTGCTGTAAAACTACAAAACCGGGTGTTTTGTGCGGTTGGAAAGTTGGAGAACGGCAGTGGACTGTAGGCTGCAAAATATGCTACAGTGATTAAACAAAGTATTAGATAAGCCGGAGTTCATGATATTTATCTATCCTTGGTAAAGCTCTACTGAGTGAGAACAAAAAATCTATCCGCGACTTGAAAAGGTAGTAGTTCCGTCGGTGCGTATTGACAACAACAGCTAAATTGCACAAGGTGAATAAGGTATCAAACGATAAGGAGATTCCGGCAATTTCTTATTCACTTCGTAGAGCCGGTAAACCCGTGTGGAATGAGTGAAGCCACTGTGATGAACAATAAAATGGCGAGAATAGTACGACCCATAGGTACACCGTAACATATGTAGGAAAATAATGGAAACAGACGCATGGCTAGCAGTTGCAAAAGTGGATGCAGCTAGTACAGTATGTCAAATAATGGTGATAATACGTTTGATAGAGAGCCCAGAGAGTATCTTTTCGTAGGAATGCAAAAGTTTGGGTATAAAGCCGACAAAGTAAGGTGTTTTCACACGTACATCTCGGCAAAGATTGTGCGAATATTGTGAACTCGAGCATGTAGCGGTTGGCCTTACACTATATTTATGTTTGTTTTTATCACTTCCGTTACCGACCATTTTGCACCATTTTAAATTAACGATTTTTGAATACTGCATCTTCAACCCGCTAGCGTCGTGCTGATTTCGTTTGCTGCTGCCTGTGCTTGTGCTGCCGCTACGTGTTGCTAGTAGTCATTTTTATGTCTTGGAACCACTAGTCGGCATCGAACAGACGATAAGTGAAGGAAGGATTATAACGTAAATGTGCTTGGTCGTTCTAAGATTGCCTTTTGCCTCTGGACTGGAACATTTGTTAACGGTCCGCTACAAGTAAGACTATCATCCAACAGGTGTTAAACACTGAGTAGCGTTCGCCGAACTGGTTCAAATGAGCGCGGACAGAAGGTTTGTCGAGAAGTATAATGGTAACTCCGGATTTAGTGAGATCACGGAAAAGGTGCTGACGTGCGGAATAGTCACCAGGAGCACAGAAAGAGTTATATAGTATGGAGCAAATGCATGAATGTATACCCGAGAAGCCTTTTGCACACATCTGATGTAGGGGAAGAAATAACGTAAAAACGTTTGACCCACACGAAGGGAAAAGAAATGCAGGGAACATTCCAACCGGCTGTACTGCGTGGCCAGCTGTGGCTGGCAACCTCTCAAATTGGTTTTGCGATTCAGATTAATAAGACGACGACAAGAAGGGCTTGTATTCCTTAGGATTAAATACAGTAGAAGCTCCGTATTAGGAGTACCTAGGGGAAATAACCGAAGTGGTCAACTTGGTGGGGGTCAATAAACGGTTCTGTGCAAGATCTTTACTTTCCACTTGTGAGTACTATAATAAACTTTCCTTTCACATAGTCCCCTTTCGCGCACTTTACACGAGGTCCCACGTAACAGTAAACGCAGATCAACCCTACAGTGTTAGAACAATTCAGAACACGGCGTGTATTTCGTAATTTAAAACACTTTTTGAAGAAAAAGCAACACTTGGCTGATTCATTTATCCCTAAGGTAAGGAAAAAAGCGCTCTCGGCACAAGCAGCGCTGCTCAGCAGGCTTGGACATTTATCCCCAGCAAAGGATTTAACTAGCATTAAAAACTGCCCGCCTTCAGTCATTTAGGGGTTTCTGTGGTTTCCATCTCATCTTCACATAGTTATTCCTCTTCATCAGGTGCTTCTTGTATGCGCTCGTAGGGGTGTATAGCTCTCAGTATCACTTTAAAAGCAGCAACTGGGTTGGTCCAGTGCAGGTTGTCAACCCATCATCCAATTCGACAACGTGAAAATCTATTCTCTTTAAATCGGTGATTTGAGCTGAAATGTCTATTAAACTAATAGCGTATTGCCCGCAAATTGGAACGAATCCAGGTTTATTGAAGCAATTCTGTGTTGATTCTGGCTGTACTTTGTGTTAAAAGTCGGTCCTTCAGGGACAAAACGTATATTCTGCAAACAAAGGGACCTGGCGAAAACGCAGGCAGAGGACGAGTGAACATATCGGTATGTACAACTAGTTGGATCCATAATTAACGACCTTTGTGAATGCATGACATTTTTCCTTTGATTCAGGCAAACAAACTCACTCCAATGCGTCCAACTGTTGGCCAATCAGCGTGCGTGTGAACGTCCAATCAGCTGCCGCCTTTCCTTGCGGCAGCCTAACGGCTTCCCTGCTGCGCTGGTACCGCAGGTTCGTTCGAGTGTATACTCCCATCACATCCTTCCTTTTTTCATGTTCTTGCTGCTGTACTTTGCTAAATAGTCCATGCACTTTACTACTCCGCGTCCTCTTTGTTGGATCTGCCGATGTCGCCTCATTGCCGCACGCAGTATAACACTCTCTCCCTGATTCATGCTGTCGCTTCGCACATCTCCTCAGCTGTACTCGGTTTCTTCTCAGCTTCTTCCCTCCAACATTTACTTCGTATGACCTTTCATCGACTTTCGCAGCCACGACTTCTTTTCACCTCCGCTCCTGTCCATCGGGAATTGGTTCAACCCATACTTCCTGCCCCACTGTCAGCTCAGGTAATTCCCGTGCGCCGTTGTCGTAGTACCGTTTCTGAGTAGCCATTCGCCTTTTCAAATTGTGGCGTGACAGAGCGCAGAAGTGTTGCGGATGCAGGCATCACAGTTCTGGTCCTTCGACTGTATAGGCGCTGTAGTGGGCTCAGGCCGATATCCGTTGAAGGAGTGTTGCGACTCTCCAGTAGCATGAGGTATGGGTCCTCCCGAGTATCTCTAGCCTTCGCTAATAGTCGCTTGGCTTGCTTCACTGCCGACTCTGCCTTCCCATTTGATTGACTGTGATAGGGACTGGTTTGCCGGTGTGCGAATTCCCATTTGGTTGCGAAAGCCTGGAATGCCCTGCTGCTGAACTGGGGACCGTTGTCCGAGACTAGCTCCTCCGGTATCCCGTGCCGTGCGAATTAACATCTGAGTTTGCTGATTACTGCCTCCGTGGTCGTGGTGGTGAGTAAATCGATTTCAAAGTAATCACTTTAGTAGTCCACCGTGAGTAAGTAATCCTTTCCGTTGTCCCAGAATAGATCCACTGCTATATTTTGCCACGGTCGGTCCAGAACATCATGCAGCATCATCGGTTCCTTCGTTTGCCGAATGTCGTGTGAACGGCACACCTCACAGTTAGACACATGATCCTTGATCTGACCTGTCATTCCTGGCCAGAACATCAGTTCCTTGCTCGATTAATGGTGTAATTTGCACCCAGGTGAGCGAGATGGACATGCTCCAGCATCTCCTTTCGGAGAGAAGAAGGGATTAGGATTCGACTTCCCTTGAACAACAGACCGTCACAGACAGTGAGTTCGTCCCGAAAATTGAAGTAGGGTGTTAATTCCTTCGGGAGCTGCTTCTTTGTTTCTGGCCACCCATTGAGGATAACGTCTCGCAAAGCTGCAAAAGTTTGGTCTTCCTCCGTGAAACGCCTTATGTCTTTCAAACGGTTTTCTGTCACTGCCAGATGCTGCACCATGCTAACTGTCTCGATCTCTTCTAGATGATATTCGGCCACTGGCGGATGTGCTCTCGACAGGGTGTCCGCGATGAACATCTGTGTGCCAGGTGTGTACACAATGTCAATGTCATACTTCTGGAGCCGGATAAGCATACGCTGCAGACGACGAGGAACGTTATTCAGTGGTTTAGTGGCTATCGAAACCAGCGGCTTATGATCAGTGTGCACGGTTGTCTTTCTTCCAAAAGTATAATCATTGAAACGCTCCATGGCATAGACCACTGCCAGCATCCCTTTCTCGATCTGTGCGTACCGCTTCTCGGCCTCTGTGAGTGCTCGACTGCGGAAATCCAAAGGTCTTCCGTTCTGCAACAGAACAGCACCTATTCCACTCTGGCTACTATTACACTGTACCTCAAATGGTTGTGCTGGATCGTAATATCCGAGTACGGGCGCATTACTGATAAGGTTATTAATGGTTGCGAAAGCCAAATCCTGTTCCTTTCCCCAGCTCCAATTTACTCCTTTGTGAGTTAGCTGCCTAATCGGAGTCATGACATCAGCGAGTCCTGGTAGGAACCGGCTTAAATAATTCACCATTCCGTTTAGGTGATGGACTGTCTTCACATCGTTAGGGGACGGCATCTCTTGTATCGCCTTAATCTTCCCTGGGTCAACTCTGATTCCGTCGGATGTTAACACATGCCCATGGAAAATCACCTCCTCTTTCCGCAGCTCTACTTTCTCGCGTTTTAGCTTCATGTTCTTTTGCAAGCAACGCCTCAGGAACCGGTGTAGCTTAGTGTCATGCTCTTCTTCGGTAGAACCGTAAATCAGAACGTCATCTGCCACACAGGTTACGCCATCTAAATCATCTATTGCTTGCACCAAACGCTTTTGGAAAATTTCGCTCGACACCTTCAGGCCAAACGGTAATCGCAGCCAACGATAACGTCCGAACGGTGTAGCAAATGTGGTGAGGAAACTGGATTCGTCGTCTAGAACAACATGCCAGAATGAGGAAGAAAGGTTTACTTTCGTGAAAAACTTAGCTTTTGTCAAACGTGGTAAAACATCTTTTAGCGTCGGTAACGCATAATGTTCTCTACGCAGGGCCTCATTCAGTGGCTTCGGGTCTATACATACGCGTAGTTCGCCATTTTTCTTCGTAATGATTGCGATCTGGCTAACCCAGTCTGTTGGCTCATCAACCTTTGCAATCACACCCTGCATAACCAGCTTTTTCAATTCCGCGGAAAATCAGTCACGTAGCGCAAATGGGACTCTCCTAGGAGGTAACCCAATCGGGCGTACCAAAGGATCTAACGACAGGTGAGCGGTACCCTCAAATTCCCCTAAACCCGGGCTAAACACAGACGGATACATGTCACTAACCTCGGCTTCACTCTGACAAGCGTACACAAAACGATCATGGTTAAAAATGACAAAGCTAAGAGATAAAATCGAATCAATGCCGAGAATCGGCGTGAGATCCTCATCCACGATCACGAACTGCAGATGATGCGAAACACCGTCTCTCGGATTGACCACTTCAATTGTAGCTGAGCCCTTTGGCATGAGTATGGAACCATTCCACATGCGCAAATAATCTTGATCCGATTGAATTCGCACGCCGCGGCAGTGCTTTCTGGGCAAAATATTGATCGTCACGCCTGTGTCTAACTGGAATCGCACAGACCGTCCCTCGATCAGAAGACTTGCATAGACACACTTCTGCGACGCTTTCCGAGACACGTGACCAATCGATTGTTCGGTGTCTTCTGTTGATTTGTCTGGAACGAGTGCACTGACATCTGTCGACTGACAGCAGCGGGCGAAGTGATTGCGCTTCCCAGATATGACACAAATGCGGCCCCACGCCGGACACTGTTCGCGGTTCCTCGGATGTCGTGTTGCACAGAAGTTGCAGGGCTCCTGTCGCGCGGTCGTGGCCCTCGTAGTTTTGCTCCTGGAAACGGCGCACAACTCTGAATCACCTGTGATTGTCATCTGCTGGAACTGATAGGCAGTGGAGGACTCACTGTTACAGAAGTCGATACATTGCTGAAGAGATAGGTTGCGCTTCCGTAATAGTCGCTTCGTCAAACCTTCGTCATTGATCCGAAGAACAATGCGGTCCCGTATGAGACTGTCCGCCATGCATTTACAGAAACTGCAGGATCGGGCCAAAATCTTTAGCTCAGTGACGTACGTGTCAACGGATTCACCTGGCCGCCTGTTCCGCGAAAAGAAGAGGTAGCGTTGAAATGTCTCGTTTGTTTGGCCTTCGCAGTATTCACTGAACTTCTCAAGAACTGTCTCCAGATTGTTGGCATCTTCGCTCTTGTCGTAACACAATGTCTCTAGCATGCGGCGCGCATCATCTCCTGCTGCGTGTGGAAACATGGCTAAGCGGTACGCCATCGGTTGTTTGTCCAGACGCGATAAAGTGCAGAAATCCATCCATTTGCTCTTCCACAAACGCCAGTTGCTTGCCAAACTGCGTTCCTCCATGTTCAGCGGGGCAGGCATTTGAATAGCCGGTGCAGCTCCAATCATCGTCTGGGTGGTACTAATGTTCTTCTCCTTCTCTGACACCATGTAAAAAGTCGGTCCTTCAGGGACAAAACGTATATTGTGCAAACGAAAGGACCAGGCGAAAACGCAGGCAGAGGACGAGTGAACATATCGGTATGTACAACTAGTTGGATCCATAATTAACGACCTTTGTGAAGGCATGACACTTTTCCTTTGATTCATTCAAACAAACTCACTCCAATACGTCCGACTGTTGGCCAATCAGCGTGCGTGTGAACGTCCAATCAGCTGCCGCCTTTCCTTGCGGCAGCCTAACGGCTTCCTTGCTGCGCTGGTACCGCAGGTTCGTTCGAGTGTATACTCCCAGCACACTTTGTGCCAAGGGGACCCTGTCCAAAAGACAGTATCTGGAGCATTGATGAAAGCAGCAGATGTTTTTGCTGCATACAGATAATTTGTATCCATTCTTGCGTGAGCTCGGTACGGTAAAGCAGTTTGAATAGTCTGCTGATTCCTCAGTCCAAGGTGCCCTTTTTGAGGTCAAATTTTGTATTTCTGAAATTCACGACATGGACATGACTGGGACAACTGTCCACTATCAGTAGAATGAATCGATTCTTCCTCATTATTTTTCGGTCGATTTTTCTTATTCACTCGTCAAAAATGACAGCAGTCATCCATCCAGTTTGTTTGACCTGCAGATGAGTAGAAGGCTTTCGGGACTTAGATTTTTGAACACAAGTGGTCTAGGTGCCTTACGAATGACCAAAGGCTTTAACTTCTCTTCACTTGAGCTAGCCCACAGCACAACTGAAAAACTGTCTTTGGAATGCTTTCCACTCTTACATTCATCACCCGTTATAACGAGGCTCCGGCCATGTATCGTTTTGTAAAAGCTACTTCACTCGTCAGCGGTAAAAAGGTCACCATCGCTTAAACATTTACTGAAAATTGGAAATTGTTCGGTGTATTCTTGGACAAACTCTTCAGAAATTTTATTGAATACAGTACAGACTCTTTGGTAAGTGTTGTATTGCAGTTCAGATTTCTTTAGCCAAACATTGAATGCTTGAAAATTTGCAATTCAAAATTCTAGTGAAATAGTGTTGGCAATTTCTTAAACCATCGGCCCGGAGATTTGAACATTTACTGTTCCCGTTTGTTTGAACTAGCACAGTGTAGCTTCATTGACTCCATTTTGGGACTTTTCCGCCGCTTCCGCTGTTGATCACTTCCTTCATCATCGCATCTCTCTAAGTAACCATGCTTATATTGTTAGATGTTCCTAATAGTCGTCTTGCTAAAAATAAATTCTGCTGCCGTCTTTCTTTGGCTGTCGCATTCCAGAAAGTGTGGCAGATTAATCTTCTCTTTCAGTGTTCATCCCTTGAGATCTTTCTTTAAAGGTCACAGCGGCGTAATATCCTATCCCGAATTGGTCAAAGCACGGAATGAATCCGTGATCTGGTGTGATATTACGGAAGAGCAATTACATACGAAAACAAACCTTACTTGTTTGCACTCTCAGATAGAAAACAAATGGCACAGAAAAGCTTTCAACGATCAGTTGACTTAAACGTCAATATCACTATGATCCAAGAGGATAATGAACAGATGTTGAACATCATCATCAGTACGCGTTAGCTGACGGTGAGAAACGCAACCACAATTAATGTGCCGCAATACAAACAGATAAGAGACTAAAAAAATTACACAACACAAATAGGATGTTAAATATTATATAGTGCGTGGCATGAGATGGGGATCGGAGGGGGAACCTCAAGGGAGGGGGAAGAACAAATAAACTCATAACACAAACGCCACTGGGGCCGGCTCTTCGTCATATCCCAAGTGTGTCCAACCAAACGTGTTCATCGTCCTTAGGACCCCAGCCAGGCAGTTGGAATACACCAACCGACGCCAGATTCGAAGTGTGGGTTTTCATTCCTCTCGAAGAAGTCATCTCTTGGCCTCCCCTCCTTCTCTTTCAGCCGCACCCCCGGCATGCAAACAATTCACGTCGCGGGAGTCGGTGTGCTGGCATGTACAACACCTAGCCCATCCATCAAAGCCTGTTCCTTGATATAATGTTGCAGAGCGGTTCACTCGCTCTTCTTGCACCAAATACGCGACGACGAACACGCTCTTACCTCAAGCGGTACTCCCACCAGATATGAGCTAAGTTGCGAATGCAGCGATGATCGAATGTGACGAGCCTCTATAAGTCTGTCGACCTAATGGGTCAAGGTTCGCAACCAAATACGAAAGTTGAACGGACGGCTCTTAATCGCGAATGTCGCGTTTGCACCACAGGTGGCGGAGATTGGTAAAAGCACCTCGAACTTTTGCTATACACTTCGTAACCTCAGTTTCGATCCCACGGGCACTAATTTAGCTGCTCAGGTACTTGAATTCCTAAACGACTTCTAACTGATCATCAAAAAGCGTTAGTGCAAGGGTGGATCCCTGCCAGTCTTGGAGAAGTGCTTTGCGTTTTAATAGAGCAAAGCATAGCCCCAAACGATAGACAGCCAATTCTAATCGGCCCAGTGCTTTTTGACATGTTTGGGAGTTCGTAGAAAGTAGAAGTCACGATTAAAATGCACACATAATAATGTGCCTCGACGGGGAATCGAACCTCGATCCAACGAATTTCCGGTCCGCTGCTCCACCACTGAGCTACCGAGGGCTGACGATCAGGTGCGCAATTTTAATACATGACTTCTGCTTCGTGCGCGACGTATTGCCAATGAGCTGACAGTTTCTGTCCTGGGAGCTGTTATAGATTAGGGCAATATCGTCCGCATACTGCAAGTCTAGAAGTCGTTCGCCAGGTAGTAACTTCACATCTTCTAGGTAGTATTTAGCGATTGCTGTTTCCATGAATTCGTCAAATGCGAAGTCAAATAGGAAAGTGACAGCGGGCAACCTTGGCTCATACAGCTGGTGATACTGAAAGTTGGCGACATTTTGTCATAAACTCTAATTCTGCTCCAACTATGCGCGTACAGCGTTTTGATAAGGTTTAAGTATTTCAGGCACATCCTTCCTCAGCAGACAGTCTTAAAGGGCACCGATCGACTGAGTCGAAGGCACCTTTTATGTCAAGAAACACGACAACGGCGGGTCGCCAGTAAACATGGCGGTGCTCCAACAATTGGCTCAAGGTGAAGATGTGGTCGATGCAGCCCCGACATCGACGAAATCCGGCTTGCTCTTCACGAATCTGGCTTTCACGAGTGCCAGTCAGTCTGTGGAGAATGACAGAGGCAAGCAATTAAGAGGCAATCGAAATCAGACTGATCCCTCTATGATTGCCGCATTCCAAACGGGAGTTTCACTTGAAATTGTGACAATGACGGAGCGGTTCCAGTCTGCCGGGACAGTATCCTGCTCCCAAAGTATCATCAGCAACTAGTGTAAATTACGTACTACAGCAGGTCCCTCGAATACGAAGAGGGTTGGGAGAATTCTACCTGCCCCTGCGGCCTTATGCAATTTCAACAGCCCGAGCTCACGTTCAACTTCTGCGCGTGTTGGCTGATCCATGGAGACGTCCCAGGGAGAAGAGCGCTCAATGTTCGAAAAAGAAAGTGATAACTCAGGTTAGGTAAATTGTGTTGCAGTGTTCGGTTCAACCCTTCAAGCTTTTTGACAGGCTGTGGATCGGCTGCCCACTCTCGTCGCGTATGGTC